CGCACATTTCATTGTAGTATTTTGCTTTGTCATTCCGAGCAGCCTTTTGGAATCTTCTGTTCAGCTTTTTAGTATCTTGAATTCTAGTCTCAAAGAATGTCAGCTGAGTACATTCAGGAGATAATGCTTCTCTGTCATTCACGTGTTCAAGGAATGCTTCTCTGTCATTCACGTGTTCAAGGCCTGTTATATAACAACAGTAATTTTGTCAACACATAAATAAAAGAAAGCGACAGTCATGTGGCTGCTCTGAACCAACAGTCCCATTGGCACCTCTTTGAGTTTCAGCACTTTGACACTGCATGGCAAACTGTTCACTACCAATCCCTTGTGAAACAAATCAAAGACATGATGATATAAATGAGTTTCCTCTGGGTGGATAATTACAAAGATGGCTCACACAGCATCACACAGAACAGTACACAAATGACAATGAACAGTACACACACTATATCACAGAGGATTCACATAACATGACAGAAGACACACATCACAGAAAAATAGAAAGATGGCTCCAGGACTGGCCTGCTGATGCAGAAAAGAGTGTCCAGTGATCTGTTAAGTTGTCACATCCAGCAAAAAAGGCACTTTTCCCCAAACTGGTTCATGAAAATGCCTTGTTCTCAATATGCAAAAGATCCATAGCATAGTAACGATTTCATAGAGCTTCTCAACATAAGAGCCCTGGAGAACCCAGGTGGAATAATGGCAAGAAGGTGCAAACCCAAAGGCATGTGGTTCGAATCCACTAGTTGCTTCGCTGCTGAAGGAGGGGCAGTCTCATCCTGTGCCAGTCGGATCCAATTTGAAAGAACACTAAAACAAAAACAGCAACAGAACAACAACAACAACACAGGAGCAATAAATGAGTGTTAGACCCCATGGCCATAAAGACCAGGCCTTAAATTCTGACCCATAAAAGTGAGAGTGTACACTTAGGATACTGACAGATGTAAATGCACTGAATCACAGAAAAGGTGCTCTCAGATACAAAGACGTCCATGAAAAAGTCATTTTCCTGAGCGCTAAAAGCCAGGTGGCCATGCCGGCTTCATTGAACCTTGTATTCCCATTCTCCTGCCAATGTTCAAACGTCATGTGCATGCATTCATTTTCTTTGCATTCCAAGGATCTGCAAGCATATCAAATCTTAATTTTACCTATGAAGTCCAGATTTTCCAAGATTTCCATCATCACGTCCCTGTAGACTTTCTTCTGAGCAACCCTCAATAAGGCCCGCTCTTCCGGGCTGAAGAAGATGACTGCATTGTCAAGCAGCAATGGTGCCTGAAACACACAGTGTATTCCGGATCAGATCGGTACCCTGCCTCACAATGTCGTCGAGAACAAAAAAGGAGCCTCACTTACGTAGAAAACTAAGAAATCATACAGACACACGATTATTTTCTTCCAAGATCTACTGAGGGCATCAGATATCAGTCTTGTGCTGGATCTTATGATTTTCATTTCCTTATGGAGGAAATCCTGGCTTGTACCTAGAGATTTACTATAGAGTCAATGAACCTGTCGATCGTTTCACTGTGAGTATTTGCACACATATTCTATGTCCTGGATCAAAAACCAGCACAAAATAGAGAGATGTGGAATTTGGAAGATAAGTCTGTTGGGATTAGTCAATTTTATGTTCTTTTGAAAAGATCTTTAGTAATAGCAAAGAAGACATAAAAGACAGACGGAAAGCAATGTGATGTACTATCATCATGAAAACACTGCAGGAGGGAAGTATTTTCTTCTGTCCCTTATATGTATGAGAGTACGCAAGGTACACAAAAGCATATTGTGGGAAGCCAAAGCTTAAACCAAATGCTTAAACCGGAATGGAAGGAGGCACAAATACAAGCTACAATTCCTCTTGTGACCGATCACAAAGACCTAGGTGGTATTTCTCCTGAGACAGACACTTCGGGCAGTCCTGGTGGTGCCTTTACTACTCTCAGATTGTGTTTGTAACCCATCTTTCCTAAGATGAGCATAAGGGTGTCAGCAGATAAATACATAGCCAATTAGAAAAAAATTTTCTCTGTGATTTATCTCCTGGGAATTTTCAATAAAGGCAGGAGAGACTCTCAGCTCAGTGCTGCAGTGTTCGAGCTGTTCGCCCCCTGCCTTCACTCTCTTCTCCCCCTCATTCTCAGTGTCCGTGTCTTCATTCATCCAGGTCAACAACGGCATATGGAAAGACAAGTTCTTTTTTTTGGAAAAAAAAATTAGTCCTTCCTACTGAGTTGCTCCTCCAAAAAGGAAAAAAAAATGCATGGCTTACCAGGAATTCATTTTAGTAAACGTTTTGGACGATAGTCAAATCACCCAAAGACAATCTTGTAACTTTTCATGGGGTCAGAAGTTTCACACATAAAAGCTTTAGTGCAGATATCTAGGGTTATGATACCGTATGACAATGACAGGAGCTCTGGTGGACTAGGGGTAAGAAGCTGTGCTGCAATCCTGAAGGTATGTTGTTCGAGGCCACCAGCTGCTCTGCAGGAGAGGGATGGGCAATCTCCTCCCCATGCAGATAACTGACTCTGAAAACCTGCTAGAGGGTCAGCTATGGGTCAGTTCCATATGGTATACTACAACATATTACTGATTATCGACTGACTAGAAGAGCTCTGAACATCAAATACAATCAGCCTGCATGGTCAAGAGCAGATGCTTGAAAAACCCAGGGCTTGCTCCAAATCATGAACTCCTTGAGAATAACTTGGAAAAGAGCTATACACAACACTCCAGAGGCAACCCAGTCAGTTACTTTCACAACTGACAAGACTAAGCAGGAGGCTTGTTTTCATTCTGGAGCACTCCTATTCCACATCTGCTCAACCTCAGTCAACAACACTGCTGAAAAGAAAACAGAATGTGGCAACAGCAGGTTATATAAACATTAGAGATAGGGATCTCTCCTTCCTTCCCTTCAGCCCCTGAAGATTCCTACTCAATCTTGATTTTTCTGACACTCATGGAAGTGAACAACCAGAGGGTTAGCTTTGGAATTACTTGTGTAACTCACTCCTTTTTCTCCGAAGCATCAGTGCTCCAAAACACTGCTTTTGGACATCAATGGCTAAAAAAGGTTACCAAGGAAATCACCAGAGCACTTGATATGTCCATCATGATTTAGGTGATTAATAAAGACTGTGGTTTCTCTCTCCTTCCCTTATCTCCTTATAACCCTGATTCACACAGGATTTCAGGGACACTGGTGGGCAGCAGAAGCAGCACAGGGCTAATTTTTTAATTATCTGTGTAACTTCTTAGTATCTTAAGTACCACTGATCAGAAAGATATTCTTGGTCAATGGAGGGGAAAAAAACCCATGAAATTACCATTGCACCTGAAATACCCATCATGCTCTGAGCATTACTGGAAGAACAGTAAGGAAGGTGGTGTCAAAATTACTTCAGGGACAAAACTGGAAATGATACAAAATGGAACAAGATATTGAGGGAGATGGGGGGAAGATGAGTCTCAACAGAAATATACCAAATAATCTAGAAAATGGATTTGAGTGAAAACTTTACCCCAAGGTCTTATATTTCTATATTTTAGATATTGGCGTCTCCAGGAAAAATGAATTTTAATTTTCATCTGTAATGCGAGAAGTCAACACTCATTAACTTACTGCCACCCACAGGAAGTAAACAACAGTACAGTAGGTTTTCTCAGGCTGAAAAGATCACTAGCAGAAAAATGACCATCATTCTCTCACTGAACATCTCGGAGATGTGAATGTTCAGAAAAGTCCCTGCTTTGGTTTAGGAGGACCACGGCTTACAAACGATTTCTACAGACCTTCAGTTGCAGGGTGCAAAGAACGCACAAGAATTACACAGATGAAACACCAACTCGAGGCACGTGTAGGAAGAAAAGGGTGAGAAAATAGAATATGAGTTCATTCATTCCCCACACCTAAAGGCCTGAACACGATACATAAAACACTGCACTGGGGAAAACACAATAAAGAAAGCCTAACACCACACACAGGAT